CTTCCTGAAATTCATGTATTCATTGTCAATATGGGTTTGAGAACAAAGTTTTCAGTCCATCAGTACGAAGTTGATTTCTTTTGGTATCTGATATGTAAATGTTTGTTCTGGCATGTTTGCAAAATACAGAAAAAAGCAGCAGATTAGCCTTAAAGTGGCAGTCATCCCTCTAAACCAGAACTTCAGCCAGAAGTGATTTTTTAATTTTTTTTTCCAAAACGGTGATTATCAATCAGCTGCCAAAGCTTTCAATTTTTGAGTATCACAGTGCTATTGCACTGTTCAGTGCAACCTGTCCTACTGGGGGGTTTTGTTTGTTTGATGGGGGGAGTTAAATACAGGCAGGTCTTTGGAGTTTACTTTGCTTCCCTAGTTTGTAGCAGAGCAAATGTTGCACCTTCTCTGACCTTCTTATTAGAACTACAGAAAGATGCTTCATCTCCTCATCACAGTTAAGAAATACTAGACCTGACAGATGCTGCAACACCTTTGTGGAAGATGTAATACTGCATCTAGTAAGCTGAGAATACAGTATTTGAATCTGAGGAGAGAACTTTATGTTCAGCTCAGATTAAACACTCTAGGAGGCTTTCATATATGCAGCAAAGGCCATAGGATCCAGGAGTACAGGGAAAGATTTTGATACGTCAGAAATGTCCCTGAATGCCTAGCTAGAGCTCATTTAATTAGCAGGTAATTTTCTTCCAAAGGAAAACTCTGTACTTGAAATTGAAATATCAACCTGAGGTAGTTGATATTCCCCATAAGAAACAGATAATGTTGTTTTCTTCCCTACTCTCCTTCTGTTTTCTTCCCCACTCTCCTTCAATCTCAGATATTCTAAATCCCAGTCTTAAAAAAAAAAAAAAAAAAGAGAACATACATAAGAGTGACACTTCATAAATGCTCAAGAGAAAAACCAAAGGAAAAGTTCCTGCAAAGCTGTCTTTTATGGGGGAAACAGAAGTATTTGCAGTGTCAAGAGACAATGACAACATGTAAACACACATCCTGTACAGTCCACAGATTTAGTATGTTGCTTAGCTCTGGCTGAAATAATTTCCACAGGTGACATATTTACATGAACCATATCTGGTCTAGCCAATAGAATCTATCACATAAAAGTATTCAGAAATGGATTTTTGGTGGGATGTTACCCTTTGCCCCCTGAAGCAAAAAAGAAGAATTTTAGCACCAAGCATAACTTGGGAAAGAATTTTAGCACTAAGCCTCACTCGGGAAAGAAAGGTAAGGCACTGAAATTTGAGACTGTTCTTGGACCAGTCTGGTTTCCAATTCAGCTCTTACTGAAGATGGAAGGACCAAAAGCAGGCTCTTCCTGTACCCCTTTCCACATCTGTCATAAAGGATACTCAAGGACAGGGTCAAGAAGGGTTAGCGAAAGCAATCCCACAAGCTCCACAAGAAGAATCTAATATCACTAGAACTACGCTTCTGACGTATTCCGCAAATAGGAATGCCCAGAAATTTCTAGGACCACGACTCTCCGTGCAGCATTGTTTCTGCTCACTGTGACACTGATTTCCCTCATTCCCACAGCAAACAGAATTTTATCGAGCTGTTAACAATAAGAGAACACTTACACTGTCTAAACTGTAAATCGGCACCATCCATAGAATCCTGTTACAATAACAAAAGAACATTTAATATTACTACAAGTATCTTTAGTCTGAATTAAATTCAACATTTGTAGCACAGGTAAAACGTGAAATGTTACCGTATTATTGGTTTCTGTAATTCAGGTTGAGTATAATGGACTAAGTGTTGTAGTATTCCCCAGAGAGATATTGGTATAGTCATTAGTAGAAATATCCCAGCGATAAACCATGCTTTGGTATGAATTCCAACCTTGCAAAGAAAAAGAAGAATACAAGATCAAGTTTCAGTATTAATAAAGTTTTACTAGTATAGCAAGAAAAATATTTTTTTTTTCTGTGAACAAAATTTTATGATGGACATTAAGTACATATCCCAATATTAAGTTTAGTTTTTCTAACTCTCCTTTTCAAATACACAAAATCCCAAAGTCTCCCTTGCTATCTCAATGTGGCATAGAGTAAAACTTGAAAACTCAAAAGATGAGAAATCTTGCAGAACCAAACAAAAACATCACCAATAAACACAAAATGTTCTACGAAAACATAGTAATGCTCACTATTTAATTTACTGAAAGCCACAGCCGATTTCCTTGGTTTAGGTCTGAAATCTGTCTCAGTTCAGTGCTTCATTATAAAGTTTCTGAAAGCTTGTGGATTTAAAGTATTTTTAGCTTTAAAATCAAGTTCCAACTAGTAATCGATTTCAATTAGTTTAATTTAACAATCTGAAATAGATATGCATGTATACATAAAAATACATAATGTCTGCTAAAACACAGCACTACAATTTTAAACCAAAGCTCTCTAAAAAATAACTATATTAATAATCCTAAGTACCAATAACTGAGAAACATAGTAGACTCTTCTCAAAGTTTTTGTTGTTGTTGTTGAAAATTGGTTCTCTGACCTCCTACTGTACATCAACATCCCACGCCTTCTGTTGCTTTCCAGTTCAAAGATCACTGCTGAGTAGTTTTTCTACCAGTATCGGATTTAATGATTTTGAAGTTTCAGATACCACTTTGATATAGATATCCATTATGCTGAGTATACGAAGGCATCAGAACAAGGTTTCAAAATAGGAAGTTTAAAATACACTCAAGACAGATTTTACTGTCATTAAATGCTTAAAATTATACCACGAAAAAGCTTACCTCCAGTGGAGCAAGCCCAAAATACGTATTTTAAGGTTAAAATTTTACTTTTTGTTAGAAAAAGTAATGCTGCCGCACGCGTGCGTAACGCACGTGTCACTGATATACCACGGTACCACCCGCACGAAAGAGAAGCCTCTCTCTCCCGGTTCTCCCCGACCAGACGGAATTACCTGAAACGGCGCGTTACGCACACCCCCGCCGGTATCGCTACTCCGTGTCCAAGCCTGCCCAGTGCCGGGCGGGGCAGAGCTCCAGCCGTGCTCCTGCACGGACGGACCCAGCTCCTCCAGCACCGTACCGACGCTTCACACGCCAACCCTCACCGACCCGGAAGGAGAAGGAAACCCTCTCCTGCTCCATCCCGCTCCGTTCGCGCTTTAACAGCCCCAGCGAGCCACGCAGCGG